CAGCATTTGCAGGAACCTTCTGCCCACCAGAGCATGGCCATGGGCAGCACAGTCTGGGCCATGGCAGGCAATGCCACACTGTCCCTGGGGAGATGGCCATCAGCTGGGAACACTGGGAGCAGAAGACCAGGGTGCCCAGCAGATGGCCCTCACTCCCACACTCTGCCTCAGGTGCGGGTCTTCACCTTCTCAGTCGGGCAACACAACTACGACGTGACCCCGCTGCAGTGGATGGCCTGCGCCAACAAAGGTGAGTGCGGCCAGCACCTGGCGGGCACAGGAGGCGGCAAGGGGCTGGGCTCACCCGTTTCACAGAGGCTGGCACCGGCGCTCCAGTGCATGCTTGCATGCTGCTGCCAGCGAGGTGCTGGCTGCAACCCTGGAGGGCTGGACAGCAGGACAGCCAGACTGCCGGACAGCCAGACAGACGGCTCTCCAGCTGTGTTTCTCTTTCTTTTCCAAGGTTACTACTTCGAAATCCCTTCCATTGGTGCCATCCGCATCAACACACAGGTACGGCAGGGTGCAGGCAGGCAGCCCTGCTCCCCTGGGGTGCCCTGCCAGGGGCGGACACATTCAAGCAGCCACAGGCCCTCTGCAGAGAGCCCCAAGGCTGGCAGCGAGCATGGCAGCAAGCGGAGGAGCCGAGTCGAGCCCTCAGCCAGGCTTCGCTCTGTTGAAATAAGTAATTCATCTTCAGCAGCTCCCTATGGACCTACTGCCTTTTCAGTGACTAATTATGAAACATCAGGCATTAATCAGCATGGAGCGGAGTGCAGGCAAGGAGTGAGAGCAGGCAGGGCCAACACCACCAGCACCTGGGTTGTCCACCCCACACCCTGTCCCACTGTCCCTTTATCAGGCGCACAGGAGGTGCTATGGTGGGAAGGTAATTGGGGTCCCCGAACAGGGCAGCCCCTTGGAGCAGGGCTGGCATTGTGGCACAGGGGCTGACCCCCTGCCCAAAGGTCTGCCTTGGCAAGGTGAGCCAGAATAAGGGAAACCTGCACTGAGAGAAGATCCCAGAAAGCCAGTGGTGGCAGCCAGGGAGACAGCAGTGACATGGTCTGGGCATGACGGAGCAAGCGCAGCCCTGAGGATGGCTGGAAGCTGGTGGAGGGGTGGGCTCTGGTATGTGCTGCCTGGGAACCCCTGCCCTCACCATGCACAGCGGATGGCAAGCAGCACCTTGTTTGCATCTCGACAGGCCAGTTCTGTTCCCAGCTGGAGCCATTACTGGTAGCTGCCAGTCCCCCTCCCTTAGCTCAGCCTGCAGCAGGGGCTGGCACCAAGCACTCTATTATGGGGACAGGAGTGTCACTAGGTTGGAGCAAGGAGGTATCTGGCTCCCATGTCATGCTTTCCGCCCACCCTGTGTCCCTGCAGGAGTACCTGGACGTGCTGGGCAGACCCATGGTCCTGGCTGGGAACCGAGCTAAACAGGTTCAATGGACCAACGTCTACCAGGATGCCCTGGTAAGGACCCCCAGCCCTGGGGTGCAGGTAGGGACACTGGTCCCAGGGTCCCACACAGCCCTGCAGCACAGGTGGGGACCCCTTAGCCCCAGGGTCCCACACAGCACATGTCCCCATCTCCCTTGCCAGGGGGATAACCCCCCGCTCTGCTGCCCACCCCCAGCTCTGGGTTCTGGGGCTGGTGAAGGGCCATGGGACACCCTTCTGTGCTTGTGCAGGGGCTGGGCCTGGTGGTGACGGGCACGCTGCCGGTGTTCAACCTGACAGAGGACAGCAGTGACAGGAAGGTAGGAGGCTGTGGCTGCACTGGGTTCCCTGATGTGGGCCACAGTGGGATGGGGAGATTGCCATGACACTGAGTGCGTGGCTTGGGTTAGAGGGGCACCCCTGGGGTGTTGCCTGCTCTGCATCCCCTCCCCAGGAGTGACTGCCATCCCTGGGACCCAAAATGTCCTTGGCTAGCTCTCCTGGTTCAATGGAGACAGCTGGCAGCTGCACGCCCCTTGAGGAGTGCAGTGGTTCATGAAGGGCCACGGAGGGGCTGATACGTCCCACCCTGTGCTCTTGCGGTGTCCAGATCTGACCCACATGTCCCTGGAGGGAGAAGGGTTCCATCCCCCTGTTTCCCTGTCTCTGTGCTGGCAGTGGCAGGTGACAGCCTTGCTCCCACCCACCTCCCTCCCTGCACTTCCTTCCAGAACCAGCTCATCCTGGGCGTGGTGGGAATCGACGTGGCTCTCAACGACATCAAGAGGCTGACGCCGCGATACAACGTGCGTGGAGGCCCCTTCCCCTCTATTCCTGCCGTGTGTTGCCCAAGCCTGCTGCAGAGAGCCCTGAGCTGCACCGCCAGCACCTCATAGCACCTCTGGCAGTGCTGGCAGTAGCAGGGTGCAGAAGCTGTGACTTGCAGGGACCAGACCAGGCAGGCAGGCAGGGATCAGAGCTGGGTGATTCGCTGGCACCCAGAGCAGAGCCAAAATCCTTACAGGGTTAGTGGGGAGTAAACCTTACCAGCCTGAGGAACAGGGCAATGGGCAAAATCCGGAGCCAGGGTGGGAAATGCTGTTGGCCTGAGAATAGAATTGGATGGATAGAAAAGGCTGAGCCCCAGGGTGGCATGGGGCAAGCTCTGCCTGTAGAGGTGAGGGTGGCCAGACCGGCACAGCACACCGCAGAGCTGCCTGACCATCCTCATCCCTCCTCCTGTCCTCCCGCAGCTGGGGGCAAATGGTTACGTCTTCGCCATCGACCTGAACGGCTACGTCCTGCTGCACCCCAACCTGCAGCCCCAGGTAAGGAGGAACCCGTGGGGATGGCAGCAGTGGGGGTTAGTGTGACATGTGGCTTCCCAGGTTGGTTAGGAGCTAATTGCAAGAATTGTGATGAGTTTGTCCAGACTCTGCAGCAGCTGTGAGGGCCCCAAGCCCTTCCCTAGCTCTCCCTTTCTGCTTGCAGATCATCAATTTCCGTGAGCCCGTGACACTGGACTTCTTGGATGCTGAGCTGGAGGATGAGAACAAGGAGGAGGTGGGTGGACCCGGGGGCAGCTTTTGGGGTACAGGCTGGCACCCTCTGATCTGCTTTTGCAAAGGGCACTTAGCCCCTCCACCCTTCCTTGAGGACCACCTCATCCTAAGGCCCCCAGCTCCCATGGGGCCATGGTGGAGACAGGAGCTGGGTCGCTGTCCCCTGGCTGCCAGCATGATGACTCCCCATCCAGGCTGGTGTTCCCTGCACCCCGCGGGTCCCCAGTTGCCACCCCACTGGGATGGGTGCCTGCAGGCATGTGGCTGAGCTCTGTGGCCCTCAGTTGCTTTTTTGATGTCCCCCAGATCCGGAGAAGCATGATTGATGGGAACGACGGGCAGAGATTCATCAAGACCCTCATCAAGTCCCTAGATGAGGTAACACTGCAGGGAAAGGGGGTCACGGCCAAAACTATTGCAGTGCTGAGCACCCAGCCCTGGTGGTGGAGAGTGAGGGGCTGTGTCCAGCACCAGGCTCGAAGCCAGAGTCCCATGTCACCACACCAGCCAGGGTCCTGGCACCACAGAGGCCTGACTGGCTCCCTCTGACCCACAGCAATACATCGATGAGGTGTTCAGGACGTACACGTGGGCCCCCATCAAAAGCACCAACTATAGGTGAGTGGCGCTGCCGGTGCACCTGCACTCACCCAGAATCGGCTGGACCCCCACCAGCACAAGCTGTGGTCTTGTGCCTGCAGCTCGAGAGGTCGCTGAGGCCATGAGGAGCATGTCCCATGGGCTGCAGGGTTGCAAACATGCCGTCACATCATTGCAGACAGCCATCGGTGAGCACTCCCAAAAGTGCTGCCCAACAGTATTCAGCACTGCTGAGCCAGACCACGGTCCCTGGGGCTCAGGGCAGGTGCTGCAGGGCTGGCATGCAAGATGCCAGAAAAGAGACACCCCTGCCACCACCTCTGCCTGCACAGCCGAGGGCTCGCTGGGTGATGGTGACACACACCCACCCTGCATCGCAGGCAGTGGCTTCAGAAGCAGAGAAGAAACCTCCCCTTCTGCGTTAATCACCCAGTTTTCACCAGTTTGGACCAACAGACATGTAGAAAAGACTCCAGCACGGTCACGTCCATGCTGTCCAATTCATGCTGCCTTTATCCTGTGAGGAGCCATTTGGTCTTCCTGCTGTACCCTCCTCCTCCTCACTACCCAGCTCTGGAGGGGCTGGCAAGTGTCACAGCCACCTCCCAGCACTGCCAGATGTCCCATGTGCAGCCCCGGTACTGTCCCCTATGGTGGCACCCCTCCAGACCCAAGCAGCACTGTCAAGGAGGGGACAGTGACATGGGGTGACAACTGTGGCTGGGGCTGTGGGTTGATCTGTTGGGTAAAAGGTGCTGCCAGGGTCCCTGCGCTCCCATGGCTCTGCACCACAGCGGAGATGTTCCCTAAGATTCCCTGGGACACCAGCAGCACAGGGTGCCACCAGCACTGAACAGAAAATAGTCACCACCCTACTGCCACCTGTGATTTGGGATGCCACCACCTCTCTGCCTTCTGTGCTGGTGTGCCACCACTTCTGCCATGCTTTTTGGGGTGCCACCACCTCTGCCATGCTTTTTCGGAGTGCCCAGTTGGTGTTGCCAAATGCAGACAGGACTAACCAGAGGGTTGGCTTGGGTGGAAAGTCCAGGTCCCAGTGACTCATGTGCAGGTGTGACATCTGATGAGAGTCAGGAATGTCCTCACCCACTGCTGTTCACTTATCCCAGGTGGCACCTGGCACAAACATCATCACCAACAGCCACCGGCCACTGCCACCAGCACCCAGGAGCAAACTCCCTCAGGCATTTTGTCCCATGGGCTCAGCAGCCCCAGCACTATCTCCTTTCACACCCACGCCCCACACTCTGCGTGCCAGCCTCCTGGCCGGTGGATCCCTCTCCTTCCTGGCTCACCAGCAGCTGGTGCCTCTGTAAAATGGTTGTCTTCAGTCTCTCCTCGCTGTGAAGGTTTTGTCCCTTCTTTCGAGGGCCATGTCTCTTCCCACCTTCCTCCCTTACAGGGATGTTGTGTCCCTCTTGCACATGCATCTCTCTTGGTTCCTGGGTGTGCTGCCCATCTTGGCTGTGGCTGGACAGGCTTGCCACCTCCTGTGCTCTGGAGTGACCCTGGGATGGCCCTGGGTGCCACCAGGATGGTGATGTGTGACCCAGGATGACTCTGGGTGCCCCAGGATGGCAGTAGGTGTGCAGGGATGACCCTGGGGTTCACTAGAATTGCTCTGTGTGCTCCAATGGTGACCTAGGTGCCCTGGGATGACCGTAGATGCTCTGAGAATGGCCCTGGGTCCTTTAGGAGACAATCGTGGGGACGGCTATAGGTGCAGTACCTGGGGAGGACACAGTGGGCTGTGCAGGAGGCCAGGGCTGCTGGGGAGTGCTAGGCAGGGGCTGGGAGCCGCCCAAGGGCTCTTGGTGGGTGTAAAGCCTTACACCTCCTGTCTGTTTTCCACCTCCACAGCCTGGGGCTGGTTCTGCCTCCCTACAGCACCTACTACATCCAGGCCAACCTCAGTGACCAGATCCTGCAAGTGAAGTGTAAGTAGCCCGCGGCTTTCCCCATCGCCCCCTTGCACTCCCGCTCGCCCCCACACCAGCCCCCAGCTGTCAGAGGGGAGAAACACAAAGCAAGAATTTGTGAGAAGCGATAGGGATCAGTATGAAAGGCAAAAAAAAAAAATTAAAATGTGAAAGAAGAGTGAGGCATCAGTAGAGGTGAACTCACCGAGGGAAAGTGAGCTGCCTGCCTGGGGTGCCCCGGGGTGCCAGGGTTTAGTCCTTCGCTTT